TCCCAGAATATCGTTACTTTAAAAAAAAAAAAAAAAAAGCAGGCCTTGATTCTGATGGCTGTAACACTTTACTGTCTAGTTTATACAAGTTGGTATCAGAGGATGTAAGGGAGGAGGTACTGTCACAGTGAGAGCGGGATTATTGTTTGTTGTAGATAACAAGAACGAACAAATTGAAACTCCTTTTCCAGACTTGTCCTTTCACAACCCCCCACATCTGGTAGAAACTGGCTTGTTCTCAATGACTGTAATTACCATCAGATACGACCCAAGAGTTTGCTTGTGTCATTTTTCAGTTTTTGTGATTTACATTGAACAGTTTCAGAACTGAGAGTGAAACGCTCGAGAATTTTAATTTCATGTGAATGTTGAAAACGTGCGGAACCTTTAAGAAACTATTAATTTAGGCCCGCTTACAAAATAAAATAAGATTTCTAAACCTTGAGTGCTGCCCTTCACTATTTTTTTTCCGTCTCTTACCCTTTTACTGGGAATTGATTTTTAACTTTGATCTGTAAAAAATGCATTAAAACTCATCAATCCAGGGATGCCTGGGTGGCTCAGTTGGTTGAGTGTCTGCCTTCAGCTCAGGTCATGATCCCGGGGTGCTAGGATCGAGTCCCTCATCGGGCTCGTTGCTCAGCAGGGAGCCTTTTCTCCCTCTGCCTGCTGTTCCCTGCTTGTGCTCGCTTGCTGTCTCTCCCCCACCCCTGACAAATAAATAATAAACAAACAAACAAAATCTTAAAAAAATAAAACTCATCTATACATAGAGTTTATTTTAGATGATATTTTAGATGATTTTTCTGTGCCTAAGTGCACACTAGTAGTCATAAATCTATGTATTGAATCTGTCGTTCTTTCTCTGTTTTTTATCTGTGTCACTTGCGGGGGGGCGGGATTCACTCACCTAGCTCCAGCACACGTTCCAGTGTGAAATACTGATGCTTGCTGCCAGCCGAGCCTCACCTAAGGCATGAAGAGTATCAGAGTCCTCTAGATAGAGCACCACACTTCTCTTTGAGCACCTCGTTAATGAGGCTCACTGTTATTTATTTGGTTCATCCACTAAGGACCAGGGCATAAATCCACACGTTTGCTCCAGGATTTCATCTACTTCTAGCCCTGTGGCAGGCAAGAAAGAGGCGCCCAGGACCGGCTGCTTGCCGCCTGTCAGCACCTCCACCACCCTCCTCCTTTCTAGGCTTCAGCCCTAAATTTGCTTGCTTGCTTGCTTGCTTCCTTCCTTCCTCTCTCTTTCTTCTTCTTCTTCTTTTTTTCCATCTGAAGTCTTGTCTGTCTTCCCCTGGTTGATGAGCAGTGGTTCAGAGGGAGTATCCCCAGCCTGATGGCCATGGCTGGCAGAGTGCATCCGCCTGCCCCTAATTACTACAGACCCCCTCTTTTTTCTTTCCTTTGGTGGTTTACAGGTTGGTTGGCAGTGTGTATTGGACATACATAGCCTCAGGAAAATTGCTCAGAAAAGAGGACATATGGGGTAGACACCAAAAAATAAGTAAGCACATTCATAAAGTTAATTTTTTTTTATTTTGAGGAAATGTGTTTAAGGTACGATCACATAATAAAGAGAAAATTTAGCCCATAATAACTTATTTTAAGAGGAAATTAAGGGGCACCTGAGTGGCTCAGTCTGTTAAGCGTCTGCCTTCAGCTCGGGTCATGATCCCAGGGTCCTGGGATCGAGTCCCGCATGGGGCTCCCTACTCAGCAGGGAGTCTGCTTCTCCCTCTCCCTCTGCCCCTGCTTGTATTCCTTCTCCTGCTGTCTCTCTCTCTCTCTCTGTGTCAATTAAATAAATAAATCTTAAAAAAAAAAAAAGGAGGAAATTAAGTTACAAATGGAGTGGCTTGTGAGCCAGTGTTGAGTAGACTCAAGTAAAATATAAACAGTTTACTCAAATGGTTTTCTATCCTTAGACCAGAAATTGTTAGCTCCTTGCTTTGCTCCTTATCTCCTTCTAGCCCTTTAGTTGAAATATATCAGTTCTGTCCCTTCGTGCAACATTACAATTACTAGTATATATGTTTTGGGAAATTTAAGATAGATGATGGCTGAAGCTAATGTTAAATCCCAAAACTGAGTACAGACTTTAAGTAAGATAGTCACTTATATTGTCTTTTGAAAAGCTCTCTGATCTTTCTGATAGTACTGTATTTTTTAATATATATGGTGATACTTTGTGGGGGGCAAATAGCCATTTTCATCAACAGACAATACATATAGCTGCTCTATGGGGCATTTTGTTATATATTGAATGTTATATATTGATGATAAAAATTTACTTGAATTTTTATGATTTATAGAACACTGCTTCCACAGTGAAAATTGTGAAGGTCATTTGTTAAAAGCTTACTGAGATTGGATGGGTAGTATTTTTCCTTACATGCTTATAAGTAAAACCATGAGAACTGTGGTTCCAAGAGAAATGGTGAAAAGGAATGTTCATAGGTATCATCCGAGAAGGGTTTTGGTATTGAGGTTTTTGCTTCACCCGCTGTCCTTTTATACCTCCTGCAATGCCCTGGCTCCCTTCCTCACCATTAGAACGCCTAGACCTTCCTCAAGGTCAGCTCAGTACCTCCCTGTCCCAGCCAGCAGAGTGTTCTTCTTTCTTGGACCTTACAATACGTGGGAGTGTGAGCCAGTTATAGAATACCTTTACCAAGTTTACTTATTGCTGTTTTCCCCATGTACAGATGTATCTCCCTCTTGTTTTCTTCTTGAGAGCAACATTCCTCCTTGTGCTTCTTGAGCACCTAGCCTGACACATAATGAATGAATGAATGACATTGAGATGACATTGACATTGACAATGACAATGACATTGAGGTGAGGGGAAAGAGTCAAGCACGGAGATGCATGCAATCCATATCTTGCACCTTCTCCCTCCTGACCTGTGCTTATGTGAGTACTGGAAGAATGGCTTCTTTGATGAGGAGACCCTTGCCATAACATCTTCGTTAAAAGTAGGGAGTGTATAAGTCTGTGTACAAATCATCCCAGCTCTGACATTTGCTAAGCTGCTCAACTGCCCTGCGCTGGAGATGCTAATAATTATCCCCATTTAACAGAAAAGGTAATTAAGCCATGAGAGGTAACTTCTTAAGGTCCCACAACTAACCAAGTGGTAGAGCTTGGACATGGATTACGTGCATACAGCTTCTCTGCTCGATTGCCTCTCATAGTCTGTTTTGATGATTAAATCATGGCCAGCAATTGCTTGGTGCAGAAATGCTAAACAAATAGCTAAATACAGATTATACTTATTATCAGCCCCAAACTGTGCCCACGGTACAGGACCTTGGGACTTGGCTACATTGCTCCCACGGCAGGAAACTCAGGCATTAGCTTTCAGATTATTCCCTCCTGTGTGATCTCTTGAATATAATGTGCAATTGGTGCAGCCTCCCTCAACTGATACAGTGTTTCTTCGTCCTACTTCCACATGACTCTAAAAAAAATTCATTCCTCTGCCCTCTTGGATCAGAGTTGTGACCAGAAGAAATGCTTGTAGGGAGACTGAGCATCGCAGATTTCACGGAGGGAACGCTGGGCAGTTTGATGGGTATGTGACAATGATAAAATGATCGGTGTTTTCTTCGCCCACCTTCCTCTTTGTCCTTTCTTCATGAACCTGTAACTCTCTGGCATTTTTCTGAAGTCCTTGACCTTCTTCTACTGTCTTGCCCTTCCATCCAATTTTTCCAATCCAGAAAGGAAGAAAAGCCACTACAGAAAGTAAAGGAGGGTGAATGTGACTTTAGAAGCCTGGGAGACAGAAGGAAGGGGGAAATAGCAGAGAATTGAAACTGTAAGATTAAAGACTTTTAAATGCTGACTTAATCTTTTTAGGCTGCACTTTTTTTTCTTTTGCTAAGCAGTTATTAAGCACCGTGTGCTTAAGCGACTACATCATTTCCCCAGCGTCTTTGTTAGTCCCTTTGTTTAGTTCTCATAGAATTTAAACCTCTATCACTCTGTTCTTTGCGTATTTAAATGTTATTTTGATTTTACTGATGATGACCAATGTGAACACACTCTCTTACTGTATATCCTTTTATTTTCTTATTGGAAGGAATCCAGCAAGCAGGAGCCAATAATTGTCCTCCTTCGTTAGGGTCAATAATGTTCCCTGATTTTTTTTTTTTTTTAAGTATATTTTAAGACCTTCGGTGATAGCAGCTAGAATTGGTGATAGCAGCTAGAATTAGCTGAGGGAGGGAGCCTCAGGAGTGGCAGGATGTGAGAAAGGAAACTACCGAGGGGAGGTGTGCTTAGGAAGGCGAGCTGCCGGGGAGAGAGGGCTGGGAGGGAGAGGGCGGAGGGCGAGGGCGGAGCATCGAGGCCGCTGCCGCAGGGGTGGAGGGAACTGGAGACTCCACAGGGAGGCGGAAACATCCTCTGTTTGGGGAGCATTGCTTCTGGAGGCCTCGTGCGAGGCCAGGATCTGTGGGTCAGATGTAGCTGGGCGGATTTAGAAACATTCAGCTTACTGGTGGGGCACTGCTTCTTCCCAGGGCTGTCTGTCATGGGTGAGCTATTGCAGCACAGACTTCACATTGGCCAACCCAAAACAGAGACTGGGAGGAGCCCCTTACAACACCTGTAGTTTCCCCATGGTGCAAGATCACTCCTGAAACTGAAGGCGGGCTGCAGAAACCCAGGGCCAGCAGATTGTAGTTCATGGTGCTGCTGAAATGCAATGTCTGCTTAAAGAGTCTGGGCCCAATGAGGTAGGCTTGTTTGCTTTTGAAATGTGAACCTTTACAAATACTTAACTTTTAAACAAGGTAAAAAAAAAATTGAGCCCTTTCATTAGAAGTTACATGTGCATATTAACCAAACAATGTTCATCATCAGTAACTTGTCAAATTTCTGATTGAAGTCGAAGTTCTTTTATTGGTGGTAAATTGATCAGGCACTTTATCATCAGCTCTGTTCTTTTTTTTTTTTTTTTTTTCCCCCATTTCTTGTTTTAGTTGCTGATATGTGTTCAAGATGAGTGGGATGGGAGAAAACACCTCTGACCCATCCAGGGCAGAGACAAGAAAGCGCAAGGAATGTCCTGACCAGCTTGGACCCAGGTTAGATTCTTGCTGAGAAACAGAATCAGTACTGCCCGTGAAAGCCACATGCATGCAGCATTGACTTGACACCTAATTGAAATACTGTTTGTTTTTCCTCCTTAACCGTTAAACCTTTGAATATGTATTATTTAACTTACATTTGGGTTATGCTGATCAGTTGCAGATTTTATTATTCTTTACAAGAGGACTAAAAGCTACATACTTCTTCTGATGTCCCCTGTGTACTTGACTATTAAAGCAGGCTTATTATATAATTTTGAGTCTTCCACATTTTCTTTTCTGTTAGATCACAGGAGGTGATAAAGACAAGAACACCCCATAGTAGAATTTGCTGTTAATTTTACACTAAGTTTTATTTTTACTTATTTATTTTTTTGAGTTGGTAACAAAGATTGTGGCCCTTCAGTGAGTAAAACAAGTAATTTAAAGCAAGTTCCATGTCATATATTATGGATGGAAGTGTCAGTTCTAATCTCCATGCAGGGTAATTTAGCATTATCTAGTAAAATTATAAATGGGTATCCTCTTTGAACTAGCAGTCCACTTCTAGGAATTTTCCAGCAGTATGCTTTCACACTGGCAAAATGATAGATACTGAGTTTACTTATTACAGCATTGTTTAATAATTGCAGAAGAGTAGGAAAAACCTCAATGTTTGTAGGGAACTATTTAAACAGCTATGATACCTCCATAACCTGGAATGCAATACAGCTATGAAAAACAATGAAGATGCTTAATGGATTGATATAAAAAGAATCTCTTAAGAACATTGTTATAGAGAAAAACAAGTTTTGAAGCATGTTTATGGAGTACTACCCTTTGTATAAACTACCCCTTTGTATAAACCATTTGTTTTGGGGTAATTATGAAACACTTAAGTGTTGTTAACCCATTTTGGGGGATGAGAACTAGGCTACTAGGTAACAAAGGTAGGAGAGAGACTTCATTCTTTTGATTACTGAAATCATATAAATGATTTTAAAAGTTAAATAAAAGCAGCAGCTTCTATTAAAGTAATAGATCAGATGGAGTAATAGCCAGTAAAAAGATCGGATGGAGAATAACAGGGAAGAGGACTAGGAAAAGTCATTAAGACAGGAAGAAAAGGAGAAAGAGCAAAAATTTTTTATGTTCCCTTTTCCCCTTTTAGTTGCCAAGCAGAACAAGTGTATTAAATCGCTACTGTGCGCATTCCAGCCCCCGACCCACGGCTCCACTACGTGGCCTCTAGATTTTCCCGGTACCTCCTGGCTATCCACAACCATCTGTCTGTCAAACTGCCTTTAATGCCTGGAAGTTCCCTCGAGGAGGCAGTTTGATAAAATGGAGACTGTTCCGATGGAGCGCAGTTCTCTTACCTCGTGCTGCGCCAGCGCCGGGGTGCGGTGCAGAGTGCGGTGCGGTGGAGAGACTCCGAACCCTCTCCGGGGCGCTCTCAGGCCTTTGTAACACATTAGCTCCCCTTTCTCACCTATTTGTCATGTGTTTATTCATCTTGCGGGTGGGGGGGGGTGGTGCTGCTGAAGAGAGGTTGAGGGGGGCTGAGGGGTCCAGATGGGAACTTGGCTCTTCGATGCATTCCATCCATTCCCTGCCTTTCCCTGTACTTAATGAAGTAGAAGTTAGGAATAAAATTGAGACTTAGAAAAACCAAATTCAGGTCTCTGCTCTACCAGTAACTCACTGGGTGATCTTGGACAAATTGTGTAACCACTATGAAATGGAGAAATTGTCTTCTATCTCAGCTTTATTAGTTTATGAAAATAAAGCTAATACTTGGAGGCAAATAGATGGAAGTCTATTACTGAGTACAAATTCTTATCAATTGGTATTATATACAAATAATTATATATTAAAAATACAGAAAGCTGCTACATTAAACAACTACATTTCTTACTTATTGTATTGTTTGAATGTCATTTAGTGGGTCCTCTACTAAAAAAAAAGGTGTGTGCTGTTATTATCAAAGGGAACTTGCTGTTTTGTCGAGTTCAAATGCGAAGATCTTGCCAATTTTTATTTTTCCCTCTCTTGCATTAACTTTTTAAAACTTTAGTTGAACTTGGACCATTTGTGTATATTTTGCACGTCATTCAGCTTGGACAGTTAACAAATACCCTAGGTCAGTTTCGCTTTTGTTTCTGGCTGTACTGTGGTTTTTTGCATTATCTAAAAAAATTGTTTGGTTTGATTACCAACATTCTAAAGAAGTCTATGAAATCATGGAGATTTACTTTTATCTTTTTATGCTTTACCAAAAATCCCTGCCAATTTATTTATTCCTATTATAACTAGGTTAGGTTCCCTTTCTTCTTTTACTAATCTTAAAATTTTATAACATAATCTCCCTTACCTTTCTAAAACGTTCCTCTATGTATTCAACAATAAATTTGATACCTACTTCTACCAAGTGTTGTATTAAGCACAGTGATGAGCAAATCGTCCTGAGCCTTATCATTGTGAAGCTTACTGTCCCGTGGGAGACATGATGCACGTTGAACAAATGATCACACAATTAAATCTATAATCATGTACTGGGGTGAGTTTGATTTCAAAAAAACATGCAACACTTAGGGCAAATTGAGGGTTTTTTCCCCCCAAAGTACCTCCATGTTTATGTAAGTAACTTTTGTTTGCTATCTTTGTATTAGAACTTGTTTAACATGCTTACATTTTTTATAATAGCTTTTTTTCAAATTCATAATAAAAACATGTATCTCCTTTTTAGTCCCAAGAGGAGCACTGAGAAACGTAATCGTGAACAGGAAAATAAATATATTGAAGAACTTGCAGAGCTGATTTTTGCAAATTTTAATGATATAGACAACTTTAACTTCAAACCTGACAAATGTGCAATCTTAAAAGAAACTGTGAAGCAAATTCGTCAGATCAAAGAACAAGGTAAGAGGACTGAATTAATATTTTGGGGACTTGAGCCAGTTTCTGTTTTTTCATGTGTGAGAAGTCCCTTCAGAGTCCCTTTAATCCATTTCTTATGCTTAAATTATTGATGAGGAAATGATGTCACAGCGCAAGATGAATGTAAGTATCACTTGCAGTGGTTTATAAATAGGCTTTATATAAAATTCAGCAATTCCCTAAAGACAGAGGAGACTGAGGTGAGACAGGGTGATGTAACTTTTCATCTAGTAAAACTCAATTAGGTGCCCACTGATTCTCCTCCCCTACCTTGGAATTTTCATTGCTTGCACAGCAAGTGACTGTCATAATTTGCAAGTGAGGAGCCAACTACAGATGGAAACCAGAAGTAAGGAAGTGAGCCACCTCCTGTTTCAGCTAGTCAGCATATTTGATTAAGTCTGAGCCTCAACTGGCCATGCCGCTAGATTAGAATTTCATATCCTGAATGACAAGAGATTTGAAAGGCTCAAGCTTCCAGTCCGAATTCTTTTGTGAAGTTGAAACAGAGAACATGACAGCTTTGTTCCTGGGGTTTTTCTTTTTTTCTGAGATCATTTTCTGCCTCTCTTCTTTGAAGAAAAAAAAAATTTAAGAAAATACTATTTTAAAAAACACATTGGACTTTGTGGTGCCAAAAAAAAAAAAAAAAATCAGTATTAGGCAAGTATGAACAGTGTCTGGGTGCTTAGGGCCAATATATGCTCTTAAAGTATTCATACTCTGCTTTCCTTCAGGGCTGGGGAGATTATTATCTCTTGTAATCTGTTCTTGAATGCATCCTCTAGAGTTCATTTTTTTTAATCTACCTTTTATGTGATATTCAAAAGAGGCAGATTTTAGAAAAATAATGTCTTTGTGCAGGTATATGACCTGAAACTTCCCATCTGTCATAAAATCGTAGCTACCTATTTGCATATCATCATTACAGCTTTTTTCATTTTTATACATTTACTATTAAGCTAAGTTTTATATAAAACAGTTTTACAAATGTAGTTCTGTCTTCTAAGAAGTTAAAAATATATGCCTAACATACACAACACAGTTTCTAATACCAGCCCACTCTGAAAATCAGTCTTTATTTCCTGGTTTCTCAACCAAAATTCTGTAACTCGGCACTTAACATTCCATGAGTTTCTGCTCTCAGTGCCTGCCTCAGTTTCCCTTCATCTCTTTCTTCTTCTGTCTGTTCCCTTTGAGATCCACTAGTTATCAAAAACTCAGTTTAATCTCAATTTTGAATCTTCATTTTTTGGGTATCAGCAAATGGATAGAATAATATTCCTACAGCTCTTAGGAGAAATAATTGGTTAAAGTTTCATAGTGCTTTGAAGTTGCTGTATCTCTAGTTGCTGATATTACGGTGGAGAAATCAAGCTGCTTGTTTCAGGTTTCTGAAGATTTTGAATGATACAATTTTGTCAACATTGCATGTTAGGCAGGACTTTCACACTTTAAAACAGTTATATATATTTTTTTACTATCAAGGTCTTTCACAAGGTTTTAAAAGTTTTGCAAAACCTTGGTAATTCCCCTTTCCAACCATAAGACACGTTAAGATGTGTCACGCTGGGACTCTGCCATACTCTTACTGTAGGTTTAATCATAAGGCTGCATACCACAACCACCCAAGAAGCAGCAGCAATAAACACCCTGTCATGTCTTATTCTTATAATGTTCCTATTTGAAAAATAATGTGTTTTGAAAAGGGAAGCAGAAATTAAAAACCAAATGAAAAACACAGATACACTTTCATGTTCTAATCTAATATTTAAAAAATATTTTTTGTTTAACAAATTGTTTTTTAGAAAACAGCAGGACTTCAGAATTAAATCAGACAGAAGCCTTGGTATGAATCCTGGGTCTGCCACTGACAAGCTCTTTGAACCTGGGCAAATTATTTTCTCTCTCTGAAACTCCGTTTCCTCATACAGAATTTAGCAGTCACAATATTGAGGTTGTGCGGTTGTTGAAATCATGAGCTATGTAAATGCACTCAGCAAATACCTGTCACAGTGAAGGTTTGGTAGGTATTCAGTAAATACCTTTTTCACATTAAGCAGGAAGTCGCCTTCTTTTCTTCACATATGCTAGGGTCTTCAGTGAGCTCTTCCTTCAGATGGAGAATGGGAAATAAAAACGGTGGGGAAGTAGGTTATGAATATCCTTTCCTATAGGGTCATTTGAAGAACGTAAGATTTTCTGAGGCCAGAGAACTCTGCATAGCCTTTGCATACCACTCCCCGGCCACCTCTATTGAGGCCAAGCTTGGTTTGTCTCCGCAGTGGAGGGCCAGCTGAGGTTCAAGAGCAACGCATAAGTCATACCCGAGCCCTTCTCTCGCATTCTTTGTGCCCAAAAGATCCCCCTTTGAATCAGTATAAATAAAGCCCATCCATCATCTTTCCAACGTTTCCAAACTTCATTTGTATTTCAGTCGCAAGTCTCAGATTGAATAACATCATAATTGTGCTAGAGCAGGTAGACTGGATTGCATGGGGAGCCATGGTAAAGAATCCACATCAGGAAAGCCAGGTTTGTATTTAAGGTGCCCTCCAGTGTCAAAAGCTCAGGGAGATGAGCCAGGCATGCTGGGGTTTTTCTCGCGAGTCTACTCTGTCATCAGCTGTTCCTCAAGTTCCCATCCACTTTATAAATAGAGGAGAGAAGAAAGGATATTTTAAAATGGCCTAAACGATGGGAATTTGGAGGGAGAATTGCCAGCTATTTAAATAAGTCAGCATTCTCCTGTATATAGCACGCTATGAGACACATGTCTGACAGATGCCAGCCCTCCAACAGCATGCACACTGCAGTGGATCTTGCAGGAGCAAAGCAGATAGACACGGTGTGGACTTAAGCCCTTACACCAGCTTTGTGATATTGAAGTATGAGGTTTTGTCCTATTTGAGACGATGTTGATAATGTTTAAAACTTCTGGCTCCTATAACATACAATAATAGTCCATAAATAGTAAATAACCTTTTTTTCGTAATTAGGGAGGCTAATATTGCTTCTGTTCCACAGAAGAGTAATAAGTAGTATGAAAAATACAAATGATTTAATTGGGAATTATTGTGTCGAACTTCATACTCCTTAGCTGGAAACTTAAATAAAAATTTCTATGGAAAACACCTAGTAATTCATATGCTCTTAAAAAATAAAATTGAGGGGGCGCCTGGGTGGCTCAGTTGGTTAAGCGACTGCCTTCGGCTCAGGTCATGATCCTGGAGTCCCAGGATCGAGTCCCGCATCGGGCTCCCTGCTCAGCGGGGAGCCTGCTTCTCCCTCTGACCCTCCCCCCTCTCACGCTTGCTCTATCTCATGCTCTGTCTCAAATAAATAAATAAAATCTTTAAAAAATAATAATAATAAAATAAAATTTGAGGGACTCCTGTGTGGCTCAGTCGGTTAAGCAGCTGCTTTCAGCTCAGGTCATGATCCAGGGGTCCTGGGATCGAGTCCCACATATGGCTCTGTGCTCAGTGGGGAGTCTGCTTCTCCCTCTGCTGCTACCCCCTGCTTGTGCTCTCTCTCTCAAATAAATAAATAAAACCTTAAAAAAAAAAAAAGAAAAGAAACAGACTATCTAAAAGACCATTCTAGTTTCTCATTGTGATTACTCTAATGATACAGTTCTGATTTTAGTGCTATTTTGAGAACATTGGGATTCCAGATTGCTTTGTACTTGTGAATTTCTCCTAAAACTGAAAATAACATTTAAAAAAGTAAGTACTTTAAGAGAAGGTGAGGCCCTGTGGTATGCTAGAGTCAACTCTTATCAACCAATGAAAACCAGTTTCTCAGTTTCAAGAATTTTGTAAGCCAACTGATGAGCACAGCCATTATTAAAAATTATACAGATGTAAAAAAAAATTACACAGACTTACAATTAAATTATATTTTAAAAAAGCAAGGAAGACTAAAACTTATCATTTTCTAATTATCCTAGTGCATTTTGCCATTATCTATGCACTAGAGGCTCTTGGCATCTTGTATCATCTACATAATAGAAATACTATGAAGTGGTGGCTACTCTGCATCTCTTCCTAAGTCCAAATTCAATAATGTCACCATGCCTGATTTCAGATACAACAGTATTGACACCCTGGAAATCTAGTAAACTCTACAAATCAAAGCTTGATTTATTGTTTTGCTGGCTGTCATTTTAGATTTAAAAAGTAAGAGAGATTTTGAGGAAAAGAAATTAAGGAGAAAATGTTAATAATTACCATCTGACATTTTTTTTTAGCCATCTGACATTAAGTAGCCATTATGTGCATATACAAAAGATAATATCCAGTTCATCAAAAAAAGTCACTCACAGATTGACAATTGCATTTCTTCATTCAGCATCTTTGTCTTACTTATTAACGTAAATGAAAATTTCAACCAATATTCATATTGGAACTATTTTTCATCCATTGTAATTATAGGTTGGTTGCAATCCAAAAATTTGGCAAACATTCACAGAAGCATTCTGTAAGAATCAGTTGGCTATATGGAATTGACAATAAAGAGTGTTGTATTATCATTTATAGATTATATGCTACACATCCTTTATACTAGTAAAATTTGTAGTAAACATGATGCTTACTATTTTTCCCCCAAAGAGCTGGGTTTTTAAGTATTTCCCAGTATACCGCTTATAGCCATGGAGGTGGGCTGGTTGTATTATAGATGTAGGTGAATCAGATTCATAAACTAACAGGATTATTTAAGAATTCAAGAAAATAGTAATGGAAACAACCTACTCTTAGCCCATAAAAGTTCATGTGGAGCCTATTAAAATTATGTTTTTCTTTCCTATTCTTTTTTTACCATGTTAAATGCATGACGTTCTTGTGGTGGAAATTGTCATTCAAAGCTGAAGCCTGAGCTTGAGCTGTTAGCTGTCATGAAGCAAAGTAAGCAGAAAGGCTCTGATAACAGATGTTTTTCAGGGATAGGATTTCTATAAATCAGGCTTTTGGGGTGATGCT